ATTTATCATTAAATCTTATTTACTTAATTATGATACAACAATCAACAATCATTGAACAAATAATCATCAGATCACTTTAATTAAATGAAAGATAATCAATTCATAGTTAATAAAAAGGATTTCATTATTTTGTGCATCTTTGAAAGAAATTTTTTAAAACAAATTACATAAAAAACATCCGGAAACGATATAAAAGAACGCTTCTTTTACGAGTTTAATTGAAAATAGATAAAGTAGACAAGTTGAAGAGCAATTTGTCCTAGAAACTATCTTTTCTTTTTATTATCTCTCTTTTTCCTCCCTATAATGCGTTGATTTCTTCTTTTATCTCAATGAAGGCCAATTTCAGTAATTCTTAGCGGAAAATTTAAAAATGTTTAAAAAAGTGACGGTTTATTTCAACTTTCTAACAACTCATTATCGAGATTGCAAACTCATCGAAAGTATATTTTATACGTATTTTCTTTTTTATTCATTTTTTTTTTTTCATTTTTCATTCTTTTATCTCTTTTTTCGAAAGAATAATTGAATCATTGATTACTTAATTAATAGAATACAATTAATTTTCTTTTACTTTCTGTTATATTACATACATATTATATAAATTTCTTTTTTTTCCACCTTGTTTTGCTTTCATAATCTTAATCCTTGATGACCTCGATTTTTTTCTCATTTGTATTTTTCCATAATTCATTAATTGGGTTATCTAACTTAATCCATATGTTAATTATTTCATTTGATTATATTATACACCAGAAAATTCTTGAGTATCTTCTTTTTTATGCCATTGTTTTTGTATTTCTCGTCTATCATATTCATCGTTAGTTCGTCGATGATCAATTGTGAGACTTATAATTGCATAAATCATTTATCTTCTTCGCATAAAAATTTTATTTAATTAATAATAGCAAAAAGTAATTATTGAAAGAAAAACAAATAATCTTAATTTTGTTAGTTAACATGTATATTTTCAACATACTTAACCTCTTAAAAAATACTGATACATGTACATTGTATATGTACATGATATATGTACATTTAATTTTCTTTGATTTAAATATAATTTCAGAAAAAAGAATGTTTTAAATAATTCAATGGTAAATAAGAAATAATCATCCTTAATAATCTTAATAAATTCATCCCTGGAAGAAGTTAACTATTATCTATTGTATCTTTGCAATTATTATTCCTAACCTAACCTAATCTAATTTTTATTAATTTATTTTGAGCATTTTAATCTTTTGTAAAAATTGTTTTAATTATGTTATAAACAAAATATGGCTCGCACAGAATAGAAATTGGAAATTCTACGAAAACGATTTATCTTAATATCATAGAAAAGATTACCTTCGAGAATTGATGAATTTTTTAGTGTAGCATCCAACGATCTTTAGACAGAATTTATACGAGTCACGTTTTACAAACAGGATGATACCCATTTTGTTGTTTTTTGAGCTATTATAATAGTTTCCAAGTCAAACTTCGTTGATAATATTTGACTTTTGTTTCGACACCGGTTTCGTTTTGATCTTATGACGTATCAACTTAGAAAAACTTCTAAGACTTAATGAGATTAGGATCTCGCGAATATGAACATGTTTTCTTTGACTTCTTATGGCGAACTCTTTTCGAAATATTAATATTTGATATTTCCGCGTTTTCTTCCTGAAAGTGTTTAATCGTTTCATTTACATTAAAGTTTTGGTAATCGAAATTTTAATAATTGCAAAATATTTTATAGATTTTTTTTAAACAAATAGAATGTATAAATAATGTACTCAGATATATTTATGTAATTAATAAAAAAATAGAATCATATAATGGATTGAATTAAAATAAATAGAAATGTATAAAAATTAAAATTCTTATAATATTATTTTACTTAAAATAATAGGAACTTATGTAATCAATATTTCTATATCGAAACTTTAGAAACTTCGATATATTATGTTATATTATATTATAAATTTTGTATAGATAATTAGGTTAAGGTAAGTATTAGACACTAACTTAAGTATTTGCTTTCATGCTAAAAGTTTTCGAACTAATACTAACTTATTCAAATCAATCTGTACTTATTCAATCAATAATTGTCTTCTAAAATTTCATCTAATCTTAATCCATCATTTTCCAACTTGACATCAACTCGTCAAGTGAAAATACATATGAGTATATATAAAAGATAATGTGCCTTCAAAATAATCAAATAATAAAAAAACATTTACGAATGGTCCTAAGAAAAAAAGCCCAAAAAAGTTTCTCGAAAGAAATTTAAAATCAACAAAATAAATATACCTCCAATGAATGAATTATTCAAAGAAAACATATGCGGTAGGTTGATATGTTACAACCTGACTGATCTTGACCTCAGTCGCATATCAATTCTAATTTTTGCATATTGTTTCAAAAGCAACGCAATATCGCTTTATATATAATCATATAAACTTGAACAGAATAATACACTTGGACCGAAACATAACCTGTCTTCAATCATTTTTTTATTTTTCTTCAATTTTTTATGTTTTTGATTTCTTTTTGTCATTTTTTTTATTTTTTTATTTATATATTTTTTTTAAATAAAAAGTTAAATATTATGTGAAAAAAAATCGTATAATATATCATCACACATTTATGTTAGTTATATAAACTAATTCCCTTTGAAAACGTAAAAATAAAAAATATTTCATTATTGCATTATAATTCGAATTAGCTATAAAAAAAATTTGAAAATCAAAAAAAAAATTTGAAAAAAAATTTTTTCAAGAAAAAAAATGTATAAAATTTTCTTCGAAAAGTTTTTTCTGTTATAAATGTGAATATAAAAATATTCATATTTCTAGATTTTTAAATATGTCATGTAATATCTTATGATTTTAAATGATGATATATTAATTTGATTAACAGAATTTTGTCTTTTTTGGAAAGACAAAATAAAGTTATATGTTATATCATTTTTCATTATATCAGATTTATTCACATAATTATTCGTAAATTTATTTTGAAGTCGACTATTCTTTGAATTTTTATAAATTAATTAAACTATATAACTATAAACTATAAAATAAATAAAAATAATTTTTAAATAATTATATTAAATTAAAAATAATTAATCAAAAATAATTAAAAATAATTTCATTAGTTTTTTTAATCACCATTAATCCTCCAATAATCTTTTTTATGTAAAGTTATTTCTTCTTTCAGATTGCACTCAAGTTTTATTAAAAATATTTTTCTCCATCAAAATAATTAAAATTTACAAATTTTTTCTTAAACATTTACTCTTTATTGATATAAGTCAAATAAGTTTCTATTTCATGAAAACTATACGAAATTTACGATATGAATTGTGATATGAAAATTACGATATAAAGTCCTATGAATAAATACTAGAGAATTTTAGTTCAACATTTAGTTCAGTTATCAAAAAGAATATTTTCATTTTAATTATTAATAAAATATATAAAATTTGTAAAGAAAAAAACATAAAGTTAATGTAAAAACTAAACTTAGTATAATTGGAACTTGAAAAATTAAAGAATATAATTTTTAATAAAAAAAATATCCCTAGTCGTTAGATTTAAAAAAATCATAAGAAATTTTTCAATAATAAAGTAAAATAATTTTTTACATGAAAAGAATAATAAATATTTCAATAAAATTATTGATTTTATAAAATAAATAATAATATATTTATTTATAAATTTTTTTAGTTTCACAAATATGAATTTAAGCATTTCTGGGAATATTTTTTAACAAATTACGTGATATTTTCCAAATCTATTTGCTATTTTATCATACTATAAACTTTATAATGCTTAGAGATTAAAAAAAATTGCTAAAAAGTAATTTAATATTAATCTTAAATTATTAGTGATTTTTTATTTTAAAAATTATTTTCTAATCCATTGTATTTAATTTAAATCATCTCACAAAAAACAATCACTTATTGGCACAATTAATGAATTTTTTTTCTCAATTATTTCAATCGAGGACTTGAGACAGATTGTATATATTCTTTATATTTTTCTTTAAAAAAAGAGGATTTAATTTGATTTTATGAAAATAAATTTAGATATCAAATCGATCCATCAAAGTGCTTGTGCGTAGTTCGTTTATTAAATTTTTCCCACAAGATTTTTTTATTATTAATATTGTTCCATTAACGTATTTTTATAACATATACTTAAAAAGTAATTATTAGTAAAAATAAAGTTTTTCCATTTTTCTTCCAATTCTATTTTTATTTCAGATTTATATAATTTAAAATTTATTCAATTTGACATATTTTTAACATATTCACTTCACATATATTTGAGACTTAGCGATTTAAAATCTATTATTTATTTATATTTGCTATGAAGATATTTCATTTCATCATGATCGCTGTAAGTAATAATGTTTTTCTTTTAATTTTTAAATCTATTTCTAAATCTATTTTCATAAAATCAAACTATATCCTCTTTTTTTAAAGGAAAATATAAAGAATATATACAATCTGTCTCAAATTTTCGATTGAAATAATTGAGAAAAAAATTCATTAATTATGCTATAACAAACATATTTTTAAAATTTCTACAATCACAAATATAATTCATATATCATAAAGTATATTTTCGAATAAAATTATTAATCATTAAGATATATAAAAAAAAATAAATTTTAAGGTTAAGTTGAAATAATTATTTTTGCTTTTTTTTAATTAATTTTAATTAAATTTTAAATTACAAAATTTTAATTATTACAATAAAGAAATACATAATTTTTTTTCAAAAGATTTTTTTTGTCGTTAAGAATAAGAGGACGAACATATAATTTTTATATAAATTTCCTTGACATCAATTGGAACAATCATTGATACTGGATCTATTATTACATTCATCATAAAAACATTTTACATTTTTATTTTTTAACAATTTTTCTTTTTAAATAAAAGACAATGAATAAATAGTAATACGATATTTTGAAAAAATGTAACAGAAATATTATGGGATTTGTTACAGTTGCAGTGGTGATAGCATTTTTTATTTGTTGGGCACCATTTCATGTTCAACGGCTGATCGCCATTTATGGGACAAACTCCGAGGATCACATATCCTCGAATAGCGAATGGATCGAGTTCCTCTATCTTCTCATGACCTACATATCCGGTGTATTCTATTATATCTCTACGACGATTAACCCTATATTGTACAATATCATGTCGAATAAATTTCGTGTTGCATTTATGGTGAGTAATATCTTCCTAAGTACAAATGTACGTAAATAATTAGAAATTCGAATTAATCAATTGTGATAATCTTTTTGATTAACATTTAATTATGCTATTTATTCCAATATATCGAAACTTTATAGATTATAATTGAAGAACAAGCAAACTTCCTATTCTTTTCTAAAAATATATAAATGCATTTTATTTACTAATCATATATCTTTTATTTTTATAACAAAAGAAACATATATATTAGAAATATATTTCAATCTCCATTTAATTTTATAATTCTTATCCAATATTACAATCATTTCTAATATAGATTAATTATATTACCATTTATTTTCTTTAATGAATTAATATAACAATACACTCGAAATAACTTCACTCGAGAAAATTTCGTCATTCGAACAATTATCGAGAATCTTATCAACAACAATTATCGGTAATAATCGATTATCTATTCATATTCATTTCTCTTATGTTCCACTATTATTATTATGTCAATCGAAAATAACTTTTTAATCACCAGACATTATTTTGTTTTCATAGGAAACACTATCGAGAAGTTGCAGAATACCCGGATTGCCGATACGACATGAACAACGTTCATATTCGAGCCTGTCTCGATCGCAGCAAAGAGCGATTGGTGGATCGAGAAACATAGGAACGGCTGGAACTGGAATTGTTCATGAGAGTACTGATTATTCCGGAAATTCTGGACACGAGGACAATTCAAAACAATTTACATCGCTTGTTGATCAATTAAAAATAGATACGATCCGAAACAATATCAACAAAAAGAACGAAGATATACTTTCGAATGAGGTTAAACGCAAGAATGATATATGTTTGAAAAATTCAAGAAAATATACCACTGTGAATGTGGATGAATCCGGGAAAAAATGGTGGCGTTTGCTAAAGTGGTTTCCTCGTTTGAAATCTTTGAAATTCTCAAGAAGAAATACGTATACTATTCCGGAAAATCATATCTTGAAGAGGCCAGAGGAGATCTCGATGACTTTGTGGAATGAAACTAATCAACAACGGCCCGTTTGATATAATAGAGTTTTCGAAAGACGAAGAATTAGGATGAAAGTGAGGTTATAAGGAATGATAGTAAGTTGAAAGTGAAATAATTTGACTCTTTTTTTATCATTAATTTTAAATTACAATTAATAATTATAAGATTGAATTTTGAATGAATGATGAAGTATGATAAATGAGATTAATTGAATTTTATGTAATATAGAAAATATTTTCGTTTTATATTGTTTGATCTCACAAATTTTTCGAAGTGATATTTTACGAAATGGAAATAGAAATTTTTACATAAAAAATATAGCATAAATAAATTTTATATAAAAATAACAATATATGATATTTTTCTTCAAAATAACGTAACAATATAATAATTATATTATTTTTATAAATCAGTTCATTTAATTTCTTACAAAATTAAAATTTGTATATCTCTACATATATGTATTTATTTCTAAACTAACCTTTAACTTAGTTCCTCCATTTTTTTGTATTTTATAAGAATTATTTAATCCGAAAAGATTAAGATTAAGGAATCTTCTTTATAAAAAAAATTATTTAAATAATAAAAAACAATTTAATGTAATCATTAATTGGATTGAAGCATGCAATTATTTTTATTATCAAAAAGTTCGTAATGTATTTAGGAAAAGTTAGATAAATTCGTTAATCCGAATGAATCACGAAAAATTAACACATCACTGCACTTTTTTTAAATCTATAATATCTTTTCTAAGATAATTCCAGAGCTTAATTTGAACGTTTCAAACGTTTTGAATATCCAAAAGACTGATCTTTATTAACTAGACTTTTCAAAAATACAAAATTGTTATTTCAATCGTATTCTTTATTGATTAATAATTACTATCATGAAAAAAAATAAAATTATATTTATTTTCTATGAAGTTAAAATAATAATTTTTTAAAAATCAAGAAATATAAATAAAATAGAAATTTTTATTTATATTACTAGATTTTCATTTCAATATGTGTTTATATATTTGTTTTGTTGTACAAATAAAGAAGAAATTATGTTATATAAGAAAGTTGAGAATCACTCTCTTTTTTACTAGTATAATTTTATATGAATTACATCATGTAATTAATGTGATCAAATATTTTTATAATCAATTCTATATCGAAAAATAGTTATCAAATTTGTGATGTTCGAGATTCATCGTGAATATATTGATGCATATGTAATATAATATAATATAATAATATACATATATAATAAAAAATTCTTTTTTTTTTTAATTGTACAAACTTGAAATAAGAAATATGATATAATATTTGAATTTGATGAGAAATTCGAAGTTTATGAAAAGAAAAATAAAAAATTAAAGAAAAATATTGTAAAAAAAAAATATCAAAAATAAATTTTGAAAAATAATTATAAATCTCAATTAAAAAATCATTTACCAAATTCATATATGAATTATAAATTTATTTTTTATATTCAAACTAAAAGTTTATTAATTTTAAAATTGATGTACTTTTAATATATAACAGCTGTAATATCGTATTTAATAAATTCTATTATAAATATTTATTTGTAAAACTCATAACTATATTTGATTCCACAATGATATTTAATTGTATAATAAAATAAATATGCCTAATTAAAATGTTAATATGTTAACGTGTTAACGTTAAATTTAGTATTTTAGATTTAACATAAAAATAAATTAAACAATTTTATCATAAAAATACATTCTATATCTTTATAATATCATATCTTTATAATTACATATTATTATAAATTATAAATAGAAAAAATGTAAATAAGATGAAAATAATAATAGAAAATTATTAATATCATAGATTGCCACGTTATAAGTAATTTATTTCCGTCTGAATGAGAACGTGATATTTATTCTATAATTATATTAATAAATATACATTGTTATAAACGCTAAAAATAATTAACTTTAATTCCACTATGTATATCTTGTTTATTTTGTTTTTGTAAATCAATGTATATTTATTACTAAGATTTTTAATATTTATAGAAAATAATCATAATTCATTTGTAATAGTAACATTTTTATTCTTACATATAGTATATAAGAAACAATATGTAATATATGTATATATATATAAAAATATATATAAAATATACGTACACACACACATACAATAAAAAAAAATGTTTATCTTTTATATTAAAAATCGAGATAACTATATTACAGTTTTAAAAAAGAAATGATGAAAATGTATTTGATATCCGTACCTATGTAGTAGCCAAGAATAAGTAAAGACAAAGAGAGGAAATAATAGGAAAAGAACAGAGGTATAATAAAAATTCAGGAATCAGCGCCATCTTCAGAGTGCCGTAGATTAAACATTAAATACAGACAAATATAATAAATAATAAGAGAAAGACAGAGATAGAATCAGAATTGTTTACCAACGCCATCTTTTGAATATCAAAAACATAGAAATGATAAGATAAGAATTGGAAACTACTGCCATCTTTTAGAAAAATGTCTCTACATTCAAAAGATGGCGCTAATATTCAATTTTTTGCTATTTCCATTTTTCTTTGACAATTTGCTCTTCTTGTTTATTTATTTTATTCAAGACTAAGAGTCCAAGGATAAAAACATAGCCAATACGTACACATATACTTTATATAATCGAATATAATTAATTAAAAGAAGCATTAAATCTTTTATTTTTAATGTAATAAAAAATGCCTCCAAAATCTAGATCGGTATATATAAATATTATAAAATCTTCTTTTTTCTTTCTTTTTATTATAAATTTAAAAAATGAATAGTATTATATTAATTCTAATTTATACAAAAACATATTATTTATACAAAACATTTATACAAAACATATTATAGCTTATATTAATAATAATTCTCAATCTATAATAAATAATAATTTCAGAATTCTAAGGAAACAGGAATGAATAAAAAGATTTCAGATCAATCAAAATTGACACATACTTGTGTAGAAACTAGTAGTGGTTTGAGCCAGGAAGTTGAAGATCAATTTGAATTAGAATTATGTTGGTGTGTTCAACAGTTAGAAATGTGTTTATCCACTGGAAAGCTTCCTGAAAAACAAATGCATGATTTAAAAAGAAATATAAATATTTTAAAGAGCAATAATGCCTCTTTGATAAAAAAGAGACAAGTAATGCGTAATACTTTAGGAAATTATAGAGAAAAAATGGCTTTGGACGAACAAAAATTTGGCAAAACTGCCTTTTCTATCAAATTTATACCAATAACCAATCAAAATAAGAAAAGTATATTTTTAAAGAAAGCTGTTTCTACATCTTCTTCTATATCTTCAAAGGAAAAACAATATTTGAAAACTATCGCATTATATCCAAACTCAAATGAAAATACTATAGATATTAATAATGTACAAAATATATTTAAATTTAATTTTCAAATTACTGAATAAAAGAATTTTATATATATTTATATAAAATGACAATTATTGGTTTTACTATAATTTTTTATTATTTTTATTTTTTATAAGATTTTTTTTTAATATATCTTATTAAAAATAAGAACTGGAATAATTTTAGTAATATTTAATAATAAGTTTATGCTCATGTATATATGACATATATATATGTATATGTATATGTACATATATATGTATACATACATTTATTTATATTTTATAAGTATTATTATTTTATAAAGTATTATTTGTTATCAATATGGTCCTGTGGCGCAACGGATAACGCGTCTGACTACGGATCAGAAGATTCCAGGTTCGAATCCT